GCCACATGGTGGACAGCATTATTGAGGCGGGCCATAAATTGAAATTGAAAAAGATAGAATAATTAGAGAAATCCTTATCCAGAGAGTGGTTAAAAATATGAAATATGAGGGCTTGAATTAGGGTCACAAAAGTAGTTGCACTTGAAATAGTTCTAAACACATTGAAGTTTAGGTTGGATGAGTCGGAAATCCATGGAGTGTTTGAGACTATACAGACAACGGCGTCTCTAATGACACTTAGAAAACTTTTTTTTAGACCTCTGGAGTTAACATGAAAATGCAATATTATTATTACTAGTAGTAATAGTAGTAATTCTAGCACGGTTAATACGTGCAATAATAGACGACGGTCTATGTTGCATAATATCTTTAAACGATAAAGGCAAATAGAAAAAGAAGAAAGGCGATAAAATAATGAAGTTTAAAAGGGGAAAAGCAAAGAAAAAAATATTACAGGTTTTAATCATGACAATGAGAGTGATTGGGATAAAAGTTGGATTGTGAATCTTTTGACCGCTTTAACGCAGTTTCAGTTTGAGAATGTGTCAAGTGTTTATGATTAGCGACTGGAGAAAAGGAGGTTTCTTATCCGGCTAGAATATCTGCCCCAGAAATTTAATTGACATGCTTTACCCAAGTCAGCTACATAATTACTCTCTATATCCTCCATTTAAGAGTTTTTTTTTTTTTTTTTACTTTGTTTTTTTTTTTCATTTCGGTTTGGGCCATTTTCTTGGAAGTGGATACGAGGAAGTTACATTTAAAGTTTCTTCTTTGTGAAGTGAGTAACATCTGAAAGGAGTGTGTTTGTGTGAAATGACCAGCAATTGATAGGAATGTTTGATTTAGTTCACAAAGTGTAGAAATATAGATAAGGAAATAAAGAGAAAGAAAAAAAAGGGAGAAAATTACGAGATAATTAAAAGGTAAAACTGAAGGCAAAAAAAAACGAAACTGGAAATAAGCAACGAAGAAGAAAAAGGAAGGAGAGAGAATAGCAGTGAGAGAAAAAGAAAATCGAAATGAAGAATGAAAGAAATAAAGAAAAGATAAAAGAAAAAATAGAAGAGAAATAATCTAAAATAAATAAAGGGTTAGAAAAAAGATTCAAAAGAAATTCCCGTTAAGAGAAGTTGTCACTTTTTCTTAAAGAGCAAATTTGATGGGGAGTAATCGGAACGCATCAGATTCTGTCCAGAGAAGCGAAAAACAAGCTTCCCATTTTCCACTCCGGCATGAGGAAACATGACATGAAAGCGGACTTAAGAAAGCAAAAGCGAAGAGATGGTTGGCAAATTGCTTAAGAGAAACCATTCATTCAATTGTTTTGCTTAATTCAGAAGATGAAATACGATACGTCTGAGTGAAGGCAAGGATAAAAAGAAAACAATTAAAAGTGGCGTCTAACTTTGAGGTGATGACATTTGACCTCTAACTTTATACTTCCTCCCTCCCTAAATGTTTTTCACCTCCCTGGCCACTAAACATTGAATCAGCGCCAAAAATCCCTGGTTTCTTACAATATATAAAAGAAGCGTACTCCAAAGTGCGAAATACTGTAATAGTTAGCGACCTCAAAACCGCAAAAGGCGAAATAAGTTCGAATTCCTATCGTGGTTTCTCATTTCACTTTAACGCCATTGAAAAATGCTTCGAACTTTGCCAGTTATCTTGACCATAGACTAGCATAATGGCAGAATATGGCCCAGTCTTCATTGCTCGTCTGACAATACCTTATTAAGTTTTGCATATTTCTATATTCGTCGTCGTTTTGCAGCAGTTGACTAGAAACTCAAACAAGGCATCAGATTTAATCATCTTCAACGAATATTGATAATTTTATTTCTAAAATTTTAGAAAAATATTTATGCAACAAAAGTGAGTATTTCATTGATATTGAAAATCGGAAACATTTATTGATTAATAACTATGACTAAAGTCATATTTCCAGAATTAAAACAAAGCGAAAATTAAATCAAATATAAATAGTAATAAGTTATGGCATTAAAAAGAAAAAACTGAGATTTAGAGAGTAAAAAGACCACTGCATCCGAGCAAGGAGATTGCAAGGAAAAACAAATTCACCACTACGTTAATGGCGGGTTTGAGGCTCAAGTTGAGCATATTTTGAAGTTACAGGAAGTGGTTACCCAGTACGTGTCCTAAAGACTTTTGTGATGCTACCATTTACAGATATACTGGAAAAAATAATTGCTTCTAGGTTAAAATGAAATCTACGTCTTGATTTATTCCAGCTGTTGTTTTTACTTTGGTTCTTACAGATATGATTATAGACGCAACTTTTTATCGGTGTACCTTTTTGTCGTCTTTTGGCACACAATTCATGAAATTGGAAGATCATCACAAAATATAACGTGTACTCTTTATCAGCAACACAGAAAGTATGAAAATAAAGATATGAATAAACAGATACTACATAACCGAAATATTATACACAAAAATATTCCCTTGTAGAGAAGGCTACTATTACCATTACCATATCTATCTATCTATCTATCTATCTATCTATCTATCTATCTATCTATATGTGTTTGTATGTATATTACCCTATAATAAATGTTTTAGTCTATATATTGCCATTCCTCTAAAAAATAGCATTAGGTATGCTTAATCGCTCATTTCCTCTTCTGCCCTTTTGTGTCCTGCGTGTGTCAAATTCTCCAAACACTCTTTCTTCATTATATATCCTATAACGGTTTCTGATTCTAAGCATGTCTTTTTTGTTTGCATTTTCCTTAAACTTCCTAGTTGTTTACATGCTCCGTCAATGCTATTCTGAGCTTCCTTCCATAGAACCCCAAATCTCCCCTCTATCTACGAGGAAACCTCAGGCATTCAGTACGCCATATAAAAGGATTGGTATTACATAGCAATTCATATTGTTTTCCTTTTTAAGTGTTTCATGTTTGAGCGCCGCTATCTTTCTCTCCCCCTCTCTGTCTCCTCTCTCTCTCTCTCTCTCTCTCTCTCTCAAACACACACACACAAACACATACACACACATACACACATACACACTTGTATACTGTACAGTCCCACTGGATTTGGCGGCTCGGCTTTTTATGAGTAAATACAATAAATATTGCTTTTTTTCCCTTTTCTTTTATATATTTCAATTACTATGTCTAGAACCATCCTTTATCGTCGTTAGGTTTTGATTCAAGTTTTGTTTAAATGTAATAAGAACATATATGATCAAGGACTTGTTACTGTATTTTTATTATAATATATATTTTACTAACTAAAAGTATGGACCAATAAAAGTATTAAACACACGACTACACAAGCGGTCATTCGTGTACTTTTATGCCACCATATAGGAGTAGTTAGGTTTGCCTATCTTCTGGTTCACACTCCTCCCCGGTTTTTTGATCAGGACTATAGGTTCCCTATTGTTTCTTACTTAGGACTGGGTTAACGCATCCTTCTAAATTCTTTTCTATTCTCTTTCACTTCAAATATGCCTTTGAATTCTAGTAGCATTATATAAAAAAACTCAACCATTCAAATATGACAGACCGACTTTTCCCAAATTTGTTCAGTATTCTCTTCTCATTGAATCTTTATTACTTATTATTATTCATTTGAATTAAACTTTCATCATGTAAGTAAACTTGCCAAAAAAAAAAAAATTGTAATTTTTTTGGCAAAATCCCTTAAGTTGTAAGGTCCTGGAAGAATATTTCCTTGGCTACGCAAATTCTGTGTAAAATATCAATAGCATAGTTGTAATAATGTTCCAGTTATTACAACTATGGATTTTTAAGACGTACAACTAGTGGACCAAAAATAAAAGTAAATATAAAGTAAAATAAAATTCTGATGAATTTGTAGAAAATAGTTGAATGATTTCTTGCATTATCTACATTATTCGGACTGTTATCCTCATCTTCATTGCCATGTTCACAACGTTTCGGCCGTTGTACGCCGCGGCCTTCGTCAGTTGATTAGAATGTCAAGTACACATGGCCCAGACATGGTTAGATCCAGTGACTAGAACCAAAGAGTTGTGAATTCAGTACCAAGCAACAGCAGTGGTGAACCAAAACGTGGACAGTGGAGTTAAAGGGAAATAACTGAGACATCAGGAGGAGGCATGACACGTGGAACTAGGACAATCTACCACGGTTCGAAATTCCAATCACCTAAAGAAGGCCGGAGCATACAATGAGCGAAATGTTGTGAATATGGCAATGAAAATGAGGATAACAGTCCGAGTAATTTAAATAATGCAAGCAATCATAATACTTCATCTCAAAGATATAGTCAGATAATTTAATGATGTCAGCTGGTAATAAAGGCCTTCTTCGTGGGTACCGGTGATAGGAACGAATTTTCCAGCAGAGACCCTCAAAACTATCTCATCATCTACAATATTACAGCTTGTATATTAAAATTGCTAGTATGACAGCAGTTTTAATGTAAACTATAATCCAAGTATCGTTCAGATACGTGTTCGGAGTGTTGGACTCCTTGTTTCGATGCTACCTTATTTTGTGAATTTCCTGTTTGTCTTCGACACGACTTTGATTTCGAAAAGCAATATTATAAAGTAATAGATAATTATTTATATACCCGTTGAATATCAGGGACTTTACAGTTACACAAACAGGCTGACCACACCAGCTACAAGATTTAATCTATTTATTGCCTCCAACTTGTACACATATTCTGAAGCTTAGGTTATTCTGGCTTTCGGCCATAATATTATGGCACAAAGCAAAAATCAAACTCACTCCAAGCAGCACGCCAAAAGTGGTTGCTCTACGGCAGGACCCTTTTAGATATTTATTAAGTATAATTTAGTCTGACACAAGACCACAATAGACGCACAGAGAGGATCGAATTCACTACACGAGCCATGGCCTCCGGGATTAGCTTGCTGATCATCACTCTACCGCAATCGCCTTGGCCCGCGCGTCCATTTCTTTATAGTTCCCATCAGTGAATCGAGTTAAAGAGGGAGCAAACATAATGAGCTACGACACCCTACCAAAAAGAGGCGTTTGTATTGAGGTAAAACCAGTGGAAGTCACTGCAGGAAGCGGGCAAGATGGCGTGCTATGGATGAGAGGATGTGTATGGGTTGTTGGTTGGGAATTAAGAATGAAGATAATGGTTGCAGGAGTCAAGAGTGATGCCTCTGGCGAGAGGAAAAGAATAAAGAAGGAAATATGATGAATTAGCTTGTCGTAATCCTTGCATTCACCTCCATCTTGGTTGAAAATGGCGAAGGGAGTTTGGAAAGTGGCAAAAGATAAAGGCGGGAAAGTAAGAGACACAATGTAGCTTGAAAGAAAACGATAAGTTTGGTAAAAGAGTTGAAAGATAAAAAAATGACATTAGAGAAAACCGAGAAGAAAGGAAAGATTATAATGAAAGTAAAAAAAAAGAAAGATTAACTAGAAAAAAATATGATTAGAAAGAGCATTGGTAAATCGAAGGAAAAGGAAGAAAGAAAAAAGAAAGGAAAAATAGACGAGAAAATATGTGAATGAAAATAAGAATAAATGAGGAGAAAAGGATAAAATAAGAAAAGAAAGACACGAAGAAGATGTTATTAAGAAAAAGAAAGAAAGAATATTACATAAGAGAAGAACAGTTATAAGAAAGATAATGAAAGTAGAGGAAGTAGGAAATAAAGAGAAAGAAAAAACGCTAGATTGTTTAGCCGGTTTCGTCTCGCTCCCAGGTTGTGGCGGTCACTAGTCCAGGCTCACCCCCGAGCGACGACAAGGACCACTGGAACGGCATTGAGCGTGACGACAGTGTCTTTGGGGCGTTGATGGCAAAGAGAATAGCGGCGAGGGAAAGAAAGGAAACATGGCGTTCGCCGGGTGTGGAAATGAGCGGGAAACGAAGGAAGGGATGATGAAAGAGATTGAGGTGTCAGGGTACAGGAGTCCGTAGGGAATTAAGAGATGCCGAATAAATTTAGTCGAGAACAAATCTATCGCCGCTCCCTAGACTCTCTTCTCGGTAAAGGTAGGGGGTTTACTTTGAGGGTGTAAGTGTTTCTGCATGTGTTTAAATGTGTATGTGCTTTTCTGCAAATACATATATAGATGCGTTTTTTTGGTGAATGTTCGTGTGAATTTGTGCAAATATGTTTGTGCATACAGACTATATGTGTTTGTGCGTATGCGTGTGTAACTATCCAAATCTGTTTGTCTATAAGTTTTTATATGCAAGAAAATGTGTTTTCATGTGTGTTGTTATGTTTAAGTGTCCCTATATGAATATACAAATTTGTGTGTGCATGATTTCATGTGAGTAAGCATACATGCATATATATATATGTGTGTGTGTGTGTGTGTGAGAGAGAGAGAGAGAGAGAGAGAACTATTATATGTGCATATAGGTGTGCGTGCGTCTGTGTTTGCGTTGATTTGATTATGCGTTTGTAAAGAGACGCTCTTTTCCAACAAGGTCACCAATATGCGCCAGAGGCATTCGAACCTTGTGCAGTGGTTAGCGTTAGAATCCAACAAAACATCAGCCGTGGGTTCGATGTACAGGAGCTAATAATACAGAGATATGAATGAATTCGCTTCGGCTTTGTTTTCCTTTAGTCGCCAACAGATGGCGAGCAAAGCCAGTCATATAGACCTTTGCAAATGGAGTAAGTTTCTACTATTTTGATTCTGTGCACTGTACCTATCGACTTTGTAACAATTTAAGCAATTTGATGATGATCAAGATGCAACCAATATAATAAATGAATTCATGTTTTCATTTAAAAGATGCATTGTGCTAAAGTCGTTTTCTAACATTTTCAGATGCTACAATATCAAAACACTTCTGACTCTATGCAGTAAACATTATTCACCAACGTTTATTGCTTTCACTGGCATCAAGTTTTTATCTTCATATCATCCGACTAATTCTTTCCACATTCTGTCACTTATAACCAAACTCTTCAAGTTGCCATTGTTAATAATGCCTTAAAATCATCATCAATATCATTCACATGACTGGCTGTGGTCTTAGGGTCTCTGCGTACACTGAACATTCGACCTTCTACCTCTCTGGTATTCATTTATGCGTAGCGTATATCGGGCAAGTAAATCAGATCAAAAACACAGCGCCCATGTTATCAACATTGAAGTCATAGACACGTGGTCAATTCTATTGGAAAACTCTCAACCCTAGCGGTCAACTTAAGTCCACGAACCTCGAAAAGGGCCAGCACAGCCAGGCGACATTGCTATAACAATATAGCAGTGAAAATGCTAAATACCTCTCGGTGATTTTGTGGACAGTGTTATTTAATGAAACTGTTTTTTTCTGGGTTTTGACCAGTTATTTTACGGAAATAATACTTTCAAACATAAGACTGAATATTTAATATCAGACATCTCATAATTGGACACTTAGCTCACTGAACATGTAAACTTCATGTAATGACGGATTTCTCTTCTGTTTAATGATTCAGTTTTAATTGAATTTAACATTCACCTGGTTCATTCATGAATTTCGAAGTTTCAATTCATATAAGCTATCCTATTCCTATTAAATCAACTTATCCTAAATATTTAAAAATTATTTCCAAAATATAAGACATTATTAACTGATTTTAACTCAAAGGTCGTTGTCATATTGCAAGATTGTTCTCAGTGTCAGAAAAATATTGAAAGGCGATATGTAAAATGAATGGATTCATCAACAACAAAATATTTGAAAATAGCTCGTATAGTGAATATAAACAAAGAATTGAAATTAAAATGATTGGTTGAGGATATGAAAAGTAATGAAATTGCCGTGTGTAAGTAAATATCAAAATGTCAAACTGTAAGTTGGGCAAAGAAGTACATGAAAACTTATTTTAGAACAATATATTTTAGCAATGAAAGTAGAGCTATATTACTTGAACTTAATGACTGAGTCCTTCATAGAAAGAGTCAACCAACACTTCTTAGAAGACAACAGCAGCGAGGAGGGGAAGTAATGTTTTGAAGTTAGTATCTTATAATTATCGGTTCATTCATAGTTAAATGGAGTGTCAATATAAATCCACAGGATTATTGTAATTTCGTGATAAGATAAAAAAAAATGTGAATAAGGGGTGATAGGAATCACAATAAAAACGGTTTTAATGAGTACATATATCTACGAAGTATTCTGTTGCTTGTCTTGAAAGAGATACATATGTAAATGGTAAATAATACAGGAATAAAGAAGATTTCAGGAACGCGAAAAAAATGGCTTCAACTCAACGAAAAAGTTCACACTAAAATTATAAACTCGGGAATACCAAAGACAATAGTCCAAGTGAATTAGTAACTATGTTTATTCTATTGTACAGAACTCTTTGTTAGTTTATGTTGTTAAACTGATTTTCTATTGAGAAAGGAACCAAGTAAAATAGAGTATCTGTTTTGCATTTGTTTAGAATAAATTTGCCGACAATATGCGCATAGATATTTTAGAAATGAATTTGAAAGCATTTAATATCCCGGAAACGTCTTCCATTTCTCATATAAACAAACTTTCTGATTCAAAAGAAGACAATCGTTCAATACAGTTACTCGTGCGTTAATGTTTAACTGCTAGTCAGACATTAGTATAAAAAAGAACAAAGGCCATGCAGAGATCTCGTTTATCATAAAATGACAAAAACAGGTAGAGTGAAAAGCCCATCTTGTAAATTTATCGTTTCCTGTGCAGAAATGGCTGTACAATATCTCTTGTTGGACATAATAAAGTCAGTCATTATACCATTTCCTTGGGGTTATGAACTTCTTTCAAAATTGTTGCATCTTATTCATAACCTACCTTGACGTCACCATGACAACGTTAAAGTTTTATTTACCACACGACCTTTTCTCTGACCAACAATCTATCAAATGCTGACCGGATACGCATGGTTAATGCGAGGGTAAACACGCACAGACGTGTTTTGATGCAGGCATACTAGTCAACTTTGTCTAACAAAAATCACAAGCAACAAATAAGGACTAACCGTCCTAGAGCAGTGGGTTTTTTAAAATAAAATTTACACCCATTGGTAGATTGGATGTTTACTAAAATAGTTTTTATTTTAAATTAAAATAGCTCATGATAAGTCAGTCTGAAATAGAAACGTCGTATGCTATCACCATTTAGCCATATATATGTATGGATCTTAATGTTATGCTCATGAAACGCAACATTTTACAAGAATATAAGTGTTTAATTATGAATGGCTACGCTGTAAAACAGTTTTTTTTTTCTTTCCATTTTCAAATGTCTGATAAATAACCTATTTCATTTAGGAGTTCCAACCAAAAGGAAGCTACCATTTTTACAGCCAGGCTACAAAACTATCGCCGATTCATTATTCTAAGATTAGTCAAGCTGATATAGGTTTTATATTTTTAATGTAAGTTATTGATCGCTATGTTCTGTATCGCAGAGTTATCTGACCGATAAGAATGAATTAATTATGACAGATATATAGATATTAGGATTTAGAAGATTTCGCTCAAATTTGAAATATTTATTTGATTTGAAAATAAAAGTGATTTGCTTTATTAACCAACCAGAACAGACAGTACAAACTGTGGTTTTAACATTAATCAAATAGTGACACCTGTAGATGTCAGTTCTTTTTTTTTGCTTTTGCATTTGTCTACAACTTCCTTTCTTCTTGAAAGACATGAGTTTCTGCATCGATTCATTCGAGCGACTGGCTATGAATGATTTATGAAAAGCAAACACGTTAAACGGATTCGGCAAATTAATTTTTCCAAATAATCAAGAAAAATATTGTAAACAATTAAATTTCAAATTTAGTCAGTTTATAAAACCGGAAAACGGGGACAAGTTACTTTGCCAAGTTTGAATTTTCTTAAAGTTAAACTTTATTTATTCCTATTCATTTTAACCTTAACACAGCCTGTGATATCGCTATATTATATTAGAAGCAGTTTACCTTGGAATGATAATATTAAGGATGGATTCTCTGACAATCAAGCCCCATTTCTCTCGTATTTGTACCAGACTAAATTAAGTCAATATTTCACTTTCATTGACAAAAGTATTAAGATTTTAATTTTAGTTTTAAGTCTAAAACAGCTGCTGTTTTGCTCCCACCTGGATCAATTTGACTGCCTTTTTCAACACGTATCAGATGTCTGTTTCTTGCAAATTCGGAAATTAATCGATAATTATGAGATAAAGTGTAGATTTAGCTTTTCATCTTTGTATTTTAATGTATGAATAAGTCAAAATAGATAAAAGAAGCAACAAAAACGTATATTATAGACGAGTGATTTTACAAGCATCTACAAAGCTACGAGAGTGGATTGAAAAGTCCATAGGTTGACAATGAAGGAGTTGTGCTAGAGATATGAAGCATTAATTTCAACTTTCCTTATTAATAACTCCACCGTGTCTTTCCAGGTAAACTGACCTCTGACTATTCAAAGAAGACGGTTCATTTAATTGATGAAAAAGGTCATCAACAGCAAATATGACGTCATCCGCCATCTGCGTCACTGCGATATTGGTTCGCAATCAAGTGTTGTTTTCATGATGGAGAGCAGATAATTGTGAAAACAGGAGAATAGGGTGAGTACTCAAGCAATTCAAAGACACAGTCCAGCAGTGCAGCCATTGAAACCAAGGACTTGTGTGCTGGAGCATTATCCTAATTGTTCTTGGTGTTTGGTCGAAATAGCATGTCATAAGTGCCTCAGCAAGTTTGCATAGTACTCGATATTGATGGTGTATCCCTTTAGAATATAGTCAATGAACACATGATTTTTACATCCCAAAATTCTGAGTCAATCAGATTCCCCGCAGATGAAAAGATATTGGCATTCTTTAGAGTAGGTGATGACAA